GTAGTTATGGGAATTCCCTGCGTTGGACCATTAAGTTTTGTTAATTACAAAACATTTCACCAGCACCGTAATCGGCATCGTCAGTGAATAGATCATGCTATTATCAGCATCAAGAATTATGTTCTCGTTGGCAACATAGCGTAAGAATGGTGATTTAGCTCCCTGTGAGGTGTACTGGAATACACCAGGTAGACGGCGAGACTTCGGACAAGAGGCCTGAATCTTAGTCGCCCCGACAACACGAATAAGCTAGGAAAACAAGATCAAATCACTTCACTGCTGCGAAAAGAGACTGGTCTTCCTGTTTACTCATGAGAATGTAAGTAGAGTTTCGAGACACATCATACTACTCATGAGTAGTGAAAAATGTTGATTAACGGAATAGGAATAATAAAAGGCTAGTTGTAACTTGGCTGAAAAGAATGAAGGTATAAATTTGTGAGATTGCATGGAGGAGTGTATATAATACCGGTTGGTTGACTTTTCACATGTGTTTGTGGCCTCTTGTTTGAAACGAGGCTAAAAAACGGAGAGAATCTGGGTTTTTTGAAGAAAGCCTTGAAGGATTGATGCTGAAATTGTTTTCATTTCGTTTGATGAGGAGGGTGGGAGGGGTTCATAAATTGACCTCATCGGATTGCCTTGGACTTGGTTCTGTTGGATTGCGCCAAGACGACTCCGAGGAATCGTTGCTGACTGTCGTCGTAAGATCCAAAAGCATCACTTGCGGGCAATTGCCAAAATACACTAAATCAAGATTGGTGGCCCACCGAAACTTTAATTATTATACTTGACTTTACGATTTCCTTCCGCCCGTATTTTAAAACGCGGTAAAAGGTATTCTTGATTCTAATTTTATCTTAGAGAGCATAATTAGTCCAATCTCTTCAAAACTCTTCAGTTTGCACCAAGACCAAGAAAGTAATGACCAGACAAGTTAACCAAATTCGATTTTTGAAAGTTTCATTCTCGCATAATATTTTTCCTAAATATCCTATTATTAATAGATCTAATTTTCCACTTTGAACTAAGAGGCATCATGTAAAAGCATATCATGATTTGGTTGAAGAAAGACTTCTACAAAACACTTAAAGTTTACACAATTTGGCTGGAATAAAAAGTGGACTAAGACATTCGTTTTCCGATATGCTTAATTCGAAACATCTCGTGAAGCTACACTTTATGCCGGAAAGAATCACGATAAGAAACGTAATGATTTGGGAATTATAATTAGACCATTGCAAGATAGACAGAATTCAGTCAGACTAGAGGGAAAAGTTCGATGTCAGAAAGCGGCAGACCTGTCCAAAACACAATTCGCCGTTACTACTGGGGAAGTTTTCTCTTTGCGTCTTAAAGCCGCTTTGCCAGATAGTCATTAACTTTACTGAACCATTAGCAGAGGAGGCTACGAGTATGATTGAACTACAAGTTGTTAATCTGGTTGATAACCGTGTAGAGATAAGAAACCAGAATAGACGGGTTGGTAACATCAATAGGAAACAAAGTTTCGAAACTATTAGTCATGTGTATGGATGACTACTGTACTATTTGGCAGCATAACAAATAGAGTCTGGAAGGCTTCTTTAGCTGAGTGAATAGATTAGATAGGACAATAGAATTCACTGTTGGGTTAGTAAAGGTCAGTAAGCTACTGTTTTAGGTGTCCTAGTCATTAAAGTGGGGAAAAAATTAAGTGGGAATGTGTATGTGAAATGCACAAATGCGGGTTTCCGTAGGACACATGAAATCAATGATAGTAAGGAGTTTGCGTCTATTGGACGCATATCAGCCGGATCAAGATAAGCTGAGAATAAGCTTAGTTGAAAACAATTATTCGCTAAAACTAGTTGGTAATACTTTCGAGATAATAAAAACTAGAAGGAAAAAAAACCCATATTTAGGAAAAAAACAGGGAATTCAGCAACTCTTCACTCAAATACATGATATTATCATCCTGCAAGGTTTTGAAAAGGATAGGCAAACTAGGAAGAAAATGGAATTTCAGGTCCATGTATAAAGAATGTCTAACTATTTGCTTATTCATGCCTTCTTTCAGAAAATCTTCAGACATCCTCTGCAAATCAGGTTATGATAAGGCTTGTGCTCATGTGGTAGTGTCTGTGGGGGGAGACTTGTCGGCCCAAATAGAAAAGGTAATCTGAAAATAAATCCACCTTAAAAATATACGGAAGATTAAGGAGTAAATTGAAATTAATAAAGCAAAGATCATCCTGAATGAGAGGGACAAGTATGAATAGTTGAACAAGAACTAGCCGGATAGAATTTGAGGGAATAAAGACGGAAAAGAAGAGTGGAGCAGGAAAAACCACCGAGCAGGTGGAGAATGTCTGATTAAGCTGGGCTCAAAAGTGTAACTTGACTCATGAGTAGTGCATTCACAAGCCTAAAATAAGCAGAAAAATATGCAAGCTTACTAAAATAAAGAAAGGTTGTGACTCCGTGTGCTCCTGCTTCATGCATCAACCGCACTCATCTGCATGTATGTTGGGAAGGCATGATGAGCCAACCAAACAATTAAAATGACAAAGTTTGGTAGCCATTTTTCGTATATAAGCAGAGATTCGAGACTACCAGTAAATCAGTTATATGAGATTTGGTCATGTTTTGTTTATTGTTTAATAGTGATAGTTTGCCTATGAGGGGTTTTTACTCTGAAGATGCCCGTCACTTGATTGGCGAAAGCTCAGAACAGATTCCTCTGAGTTTTTTTCGCATAATCCAACAGTCACAAGCTTGGGGTGATCCTTCTTCGGTATCCGATGAGGCCAATTTATGAATTCCTCCGCCCGTCCTTTAAGACTAACCCAAAGGTATGCCAGCAACTAAAAAAGCTAACTTATTTTTAATTTATAATTTGGCTATTATTAGTAGGTTTTCTGTAGGAGCTATAGATACTCTACTCCGTTTAAGGTAATTAAGGATTGATAAATAAATTTCTCCACAGTGATACCGGTAGACTTCATGTTTCCATTTAATTTCACACAACCCTTCTTCCCAAAATATACTGGAAACTAGGTAATATGGTAGATTATTAGAACAAATAGAAATTTGTTTCATGTTGCATGACGAAGGCTCAGCAAGGATTCATTGGTGCGAAATCGTCTCTTCAAACGAAAAGGTACTCCAACATCAATTCATTAAGATATTCTTCGAAACCCAGTTTTTCTACATAAAATTTCATATGGTCAAAACCATGGCGACAGTGTCAAGAGTAGTCACTGTACTACCACAAGCTGGGTTCGAGTCTCGCTGGAGCTGGTGATGACACCAATTCCAGTCTGGAGGATGACGACTTTTGAGAAAAAAAGAGGCCCTGTGAAATGCATTAGAAGCATAAGGCCGGTCTGATGACATTGTGGAACAAGACAATTGTTAATTCTTCGTCACCTTAAACGAAATAGAGTGAATTCACATCTTTTTCCCAAATCCAACTGTCGGCAAGACCATACAGACGAGAAGTGGAGCCAAGCAGCTTGTGATGTTGAAAGAAAAATGAACTGTTCAACCAGTTCGAGCGAGCGTCCTCGGCTGGATCGTTCACTCGAATGCTCGGACGACGGAGATTTCGAGGACAATCGCTCAAACGGAGAAATCCAAACGAACCGAGACCCACGAGAGCGCATGTCTGGCGCGATGGACAGAAGAAAGTGATTGACTGGCAAAAGGCAAGGTCAATTTGGCACAAGAATCCGTACCAAGGGGTGGTATACTCGTCGTGTCTCTTCACCTCAATTGAGTGTGAAGACGAAACGGAGTTACTGGCACTTGTGACGTCTCGTTCATACCCAAATTTCAGGACGTCTGCTGACCGACAGAAAGGAGCCGGATGCAATTCGGCCTCCTGTGGCGGTTGTTAAGACAACTGAAGTTGCATCACTTCTACCACTGGCCACCAGAGTCTTAACAAGTGGTTGAGTCGTTCGCGTTGAGATGTCAGGCCTACAGCATCGGGTGTGCTTGGTTCTATGCCGTTTAGTTTCTATGCCCGTTGGAGAGGCCTTGTTTATGACCGATGGTTTGGCCGGATTTTGTGTGCATGCTTGGCTGTCATGTGCACACAAAGTCGACAACAATAGTCGACGTTACGAATATTGCAAAACGCCAGAATCTCGTGTCTCTTCGGCTTCCGACATTCTACTCTCCCACCAAAGACAAGCAAACAATCAGACCACCCGACCCATTCATTTTATTCCCGCATGTCCTAAGCACATTCGACCCCCAGGAGGGATTCGGTCGAGAGGGATCGAGACAACTGCCGGTAGGGCAGTCTCTAACCCAGGCCTTTCAGGTTGAATTCGTTTGGTGCCAAGTTTCCGTCGACGATCGTGTCTCCGGATTGTCAGGCATTCGTACCCA